GAGTGAGTCGGTAAAAAAGCTGTGCTAGGTTTTTGTTTGTTAGCTTGTGCCTGTGTGTCTGTTTTTGTATGTATGATGGAAAGGAGGTGAATCCTGATCGCATAAAAACACAAAGTGCTTTCACCATTTGCATAAAAGCGAAAATTGCGTCAAAATTTTGTACGAAAAACCTCAAGAATGATTGATATTTGCTTAATTTTTCAAATTTGATTTTCTGGTTTTTTACGTTAAAAAAATGAAAGAGTAATGCGAATCGTGGGAGAAAAATAAAAAGCGCATAGGATATGTTTTGGGTAGGCCTGAAGGTTGCATTCACTCACAAGGGTTCGTCTTGCAGTCTACGCGGGTTCGGACAGTGCTCAACGAGAAACAGCTGATGACATTGAAAGCATGCTATGCAGCGAATGCACGCCCGGATGCCATGATGAAGGAACATCTTGTCGAAATGACTGGTATTTCGTTAAACCATTAACTCATATATGCTAATATTTATCATTCCACTTAATTATTTAAAGTTTTCCAGATTAGCTGCCACTTTTCCGGCAAAAGCATCCGCTGATTTCTTTCACCTAACCAACTCTTAAATAAGACGTTTTGAAATAGTTTGTCAAATTCTTCTTAAAAACCAGCTTTTTGTGAGACATTTTTTAATTTATAGCCACTTGCAGGACTAAGCCCACGCGTCATACGTGTATGGTTCCAGAATAAACGCTGCAAAGATAAGAAACGACAGATTGCGATGAAGCATTTGCAACAAAAAGCTGAAACGGTTTAGTTTTATTATACATATTTCAGTGCGCACATTAATTTCGCTCCTACAGCTGAATTAAAACACACTTTTTTGCACTTGCAACTTTCATATTCTGCTTCTTCAGTTGATTAACTGCGAAAAGGCTACGTGTTCTCCGAAACCGAATGGCCTTTTTGTTTGCCGTTGCACCTCCACCAGGAGGTTTCCTGTCTTTTCTTTTTCTGTTGGCCCTTGCCGAACTTGTTGTTTCTACATTCTTTTAATGTCGGCTTTCTCTGACCTTTCGCTTACAATC